CAATCCTTTTTTCTAGCCAGCCTACACGAACTCCAACGGGCACGGCTGCGTAGGGTGATATGGGTGTATAAATTTTAAAAACGCAATCATGTATTTTTTATGTTTGTTCTCAGCTGTCATCATTTGAATGTGTCTTAGCTCTGTGGCCGGGAGGGAGGTTGGTGGGGGGGGGGGGGTAACAGCTGAATGCTGAGCTCCTGCTCGAAGATGGGGCAGTGATGCAGCAGGATTTTGACGGGGTGGAAGAACAAGAAGGTGGCATGGAATTATAAATTAACAATAATTGATTCGTATCTGTAATTGTATGCTAATCCAAGGGCTGCCAAAAAATGCATGAGTGGGTGAGGGGGGGGGGGGGTAACAGCTGAATGCTGAGCTCCTGCTCGAAGATGGGGCAGTGATGCAGCAGGATTTTGACGGGGTGGAAGAACAAGAAGGTGGCATGGAATTATAAATTAACAATAATTGATTCGTATCTGTAATTGTATGCTAATCCAAGGGCTGCCAAAAAATGCATGAGTGGGTGAAGGCTGCAGGACATCACCGTGGATGCAAAGTCTGATCAATGGAGGATGATGAAGCAAGCACGCACAGTTGTGCCATAACTAATAACTCATTTTTTCCATGGACCAGCTCAGGGTACGCCAATGTATTCACCAGCATTATTAGCGCGATGGCTGTGCAGCTCACTCAGGATCAGCAACTTTTGCACTTGAGGTGACAACGAGTCTGGTACAAAAAATGATTTGAAATTTAGATGGCAGCACTGTAGATGTCCATATTTCTCCATCTTTTTACAAGTACGGCTTAAAAAATACTTGATGCACCGAGTAGCCACACCATAACATGGGCTACCCTAGATTCTAACTTGTGCACTTCATCACACAGTTGCTGACACATCGTTATATTTGTGCTTGAGGCGCATGATTCATCTGTGTAAAATCCCCTCAATTTGATGTTTTGCAGAAGAATGTCTTATTAAATCCTCCATTGCTTCAAACTTGCAATCTGTTGAGGCCATCATGGATTCCAGTAGACAAGCGCCTTCAAAAAAATAATAAAATAAAATTGTACCTTCACATAGATTAAAACGTTCTGATTTGATTGACACTGCCAAAGACATATTTGTTTAAGTTGTGACATCGTAATGAGACAGTATATTCATATTTTCTGCCTTACCAATTCCGAAATAAATAAATCTCTCTACCACGTTTTTATTTTTCAAAGGGCAGATTTTTTGAATTTGTTGGGGTACCTAATGTATGTTAATATGTCTGACAGCATCATTGCCCAAATCATATTTGAATTTGGACAATTTCTTAGCAGGCACATGGGTATTTTTGACAGCTTTGGTAACAATACATTACAAGTGATTTATTCATTTCTGCTTTCAAGCTAACGATATACTGTTTGAATTTATTCTTTTCTTCCTAATTCAAACAAACTAGGATTGTGCTTGGATATAACGCTTTTTACGTTTGAAGTCTGTCCTCCCAGTTTCATTTCAAAAAGGTATTTTACGACTAGTTCGGTCTGGAAAATCTAAAGATGGATACAAAAAGCACCATTGTGTCACTTAGGTGATAAAAGCAGATGATTTTGATTCGTCGAGACAGTCGTTGTATGTGGCCCGTGCAGCTAACTACTGACGACAAGCCAGTTATTTTTATCCCCCCCAAGTGAAAGTACTACAAGTTCATACCATCTCTTATTTCTATTCCACATCCTTAATGTGACAGAAGAAACTGAATCTGAATGCATTATCTGCTGGCCTGTGCACTTTGTTTTGCAAGGGGACGATCACCACTGTGGTGCGGGGAATGGTGAGGCATATTCAGGCCAGTTACGCTGGGGGCTCTTAGTAAGCTACTGTGTGTAAATGAAGGCGTTTTAATCAAAATGGGTCAAGTAGGTCATTAGGAAGCAATATGTATTGCAAAAATGCAATTCTCCCCCTCCCCCAAAAAGAAGAAGAAGAGAAAATACATCAGAATTTAACTCCGTGTCCAAAGTGTTTTTCTATTAAGGTGTCATCCATAGTTATGAACCCACCCGTGGAGGTCCGAGCTTGATTGCCCCCCTTTGGGAAATGGTTGACCTCAAGTGAGCTTTTATCTACTGTATTCAAGCTTTGAAGTGGAATCTCCTCTACAGAGTGCAACTCCACAAGAGGACACACATTCTCAAGATGCCAATGATTGACAAGTCCCAATTTTTTTTTTTTTAACTCAGGGTGCTTTGCCCGCCACCTGCAACGTCAGCCTATATGGCTACACATCGTGCGCAACACAATGCACATGCTTGAAACCACCAGTAGACCCTTCCATGGTCATGATCCAGCAATACTCAGATTTGGCAATTCACATTTGATTCCTCCCACACACGTCACGTGTGGAAGATATGGAGTCGCTCATGTTTTCCTACGTTAATTGCTTCACTCAAAAACGGACACCGTCTCATTAGACGTAGCCAAGAAGCCATTCAGCATTTCCTGACCGAACTCAAGATTGCTCATTAGCAACGCAACGCTGCCTTATGGTGTCTTTACCCTGCACGTTTTGAAAACATGTCACTTGACAGCGGCGTGAGTTGAAACTCCTCGATATGGCCTCAGATGCAGATACAGCAGTTGATGTGCTTTTTCCAGCAGCGCATATGAGAATGCCAAATGTAGTTTTCTGCGTCGGCACTGGCTCGACTCCAACAGTCAGCTGCTGCTTGCTTCTGCTGCTGCTGTTGCCCGGCAACATACAGTATTTCATAGTTTGACTCCGCTGCTTGGGCGCTGAGCTGGAGTCAGCTTCTTTCGTCTCTTCACTGTACATCGGGCTGTGGGTTTGTGTGCGTTGCACAGCATAACACTGTGTCGATCTGGGTTATTCTTCCATGAGGGGCTTCATGAAAATATGAGATAATGCATGTCGCCTATATACAGGAACTAAATTTGTCCTTTTGCGACAAATGGTAATGCTTACGGAGGTTGTTAGCTATTGACTTTATTCAGTCACGTCATACACTGCACGTCGCGCACTTATCCCCAAAACTCCAAATTCAATGATGACGTCACTCAAGTCAAACTTCCAACACTTGTGTGCGTTTGTGTACGTGTGTGTGTTGACAGGCAGACAATGTGTGCCGCTAATGTGTCAAAGCGCACATCGCCATCACAGATACACACAGCACACTGCGAAAATTTTTTTCCCCCCTCCTCTCCCTCCTTCTCCAATTAAAAACACTTGCTGCCGCTTGCCTCATTATCCCGGGAGCGGCGACTTTGAGAGTTCTCTAGCCTCACATTCATTATTAAAGAACATGTTGATCATGTTCACTTTAAGCTTTGAGGCACGTTCCTTTTTCTTCCTTTCGCTTGGCTCTGCCCAAGGCCCCGAGCTCGCCTTTGCAGGGCTCAAATCTGGCAGGCAAACTACTGCCGACTTGGTGAATGTGCACTGGCGTGCGCGTTATCAGTGAAGGAATTTGCAACTTTGCAGTCATCTGTCTTATTTTTCCATTAATCTGAATTATTTACAGCGGCCTCGTGTCGAAAGAGTCACTCCGTTAAGCCTGATGATCTATAGATTAACGTCAATACACGGAGCCTGAAAGCCCGTCGTCACAGCGCACAGGGATCAACTTCACATCTGATAAATAACCTTTCCTGACACAGAATAATGATCTCTTTTTCACATTTTCGCAGCCAGTTTGTAGGCTAGGTGACAGGTGCATTTTAATGGCCACGGGATTTTGCATTCCAGAGAGACTGTTGGATATATTGAGCACATGGTCATGTTAGCCAATGGGTTTTTTTTCCCTACATTAGTGCTCATAATGCTCATATAACATCATATTTATTGAAAGGTGTTTGTCATATTTTGCCTCCACCTTCTTCTACTAAGTGAAGAAACCAAGACATTCAAAGCTCAAAGTATGTTGCTTTGGTTGTGCACGAGTAGCTAAGGAAGTATCCAGCAGTCTATTTCAATGCCTGTCACCATTTGAAAAACAAATCTTTACTTCTACGTATTCGAAAAGAATTATTGTGCCAGCCATAGTTTTGAATAATTTACTGTTTGGGTCCGCAAATGGATTTATTGTCCTTGTGCATATTAAACAAGCCATATTTTTAGAGTCGATTGCACATGCTGCGTACAACAAATATATGTCGCCGCTGTGTTTCGCCTTCGGCGAAAACGTGCACGAGGTTTCCGCATGGTTATCCGTCTCACTCGCTCTCGAGTGGAGTTTGCGGCGAGTCTCACTTTTCGGAGACAAATTGATTTTGATGTCCCGTGTGTCTGTTGGTCCCCAGCTGTCCCCTTCCCCCTAAGCCACCGCCTTACCATGAAAGAAGTGTTCGACTGTGAAGGGAAACCCCGAGTGGATCTCCTGAAGGCCCACCTTACCAAGGAGGGCCGCGTGGAAGAAGCCGTGGCATTGCGAATCATCAATGAAGGAGCGGCAATCCTGCGCCAGGAGAAAACCATACTGGACATTGAGGCACCGGTCACAGGTAGTTTTGACATTAAGAAACGGCAATGACACACACACACACACACACATGCACAAAAGTGGTGGCTATCAAAACTGTATGGTGAACACACCGTACACGGTGGCATGTCCAGATGAAAAAAAAAAACACTCAAAAGTGTTGTCAGACAATAAGTGATGCAAAAAGGACTAGAAACACTCAGATTTTCAAAGGCGGAAAAGAAAAAAACAGGGGTTGTTGAATGGATTAAAAAAATGGATTAAAAAAAAGACAAGAAATCAGCAACGGAAAAGAAAGGGCGCGAGCAGCGTGGTTCATTCAAGGCCTTCAACTGTCCATCGGTGTGAATGTTTGTTCATTTTGAGGGAAAATGTCCAACAGATCAGTTCTGCAGACTTTTTAAGTAATGCAGCTGTGCTAAATCAGGTACCTGCTAGTCTGTTGAGCTGCAGCAAGTGTGTGACATTTTGATGTCTGTTGCAACTACCCGGCGTATCAAGTTAAAAGGCGTTTGCTAAAATTGCGACATCTCCAAATGTTGGCAGCGTCTGAGTCTGCCACTGCCTCCCTCTGATCAACCTAAGTTGTGGCCTAGTTTTAGTCCATGCCGAACATGCCAGAAAGACATTTTTATTCTGGGTGTACAATCATCAAGGGATATATTTCCTCAAGCTGAGATCTTTTTTTTTTTCCAGCTTCCAAGTCTGACCAATATATTTAGCCACTCACCATGTTGACAGAAAAAAAAAAATAAAGTAATTTTACAAAGTATCAACTGTCAGTGATCTGGAACCGTACGTAAAATTGAGCAAACGTCATTTCCTACAAACAATTATTTTGTTGAGTTACCTTATCATGACAAGGATTCAATTCATCGTCTTTGTTGTTTAACTGAAAAGGATGCCACACAAGTTTAGGAAAGTGGAAGCTTTCGCTCAGGAGTATGAAATATGGACGATGGACCAAGTGGCGCATACGGATGTTGATCGCAACCATCTGAAGCTTCAGTTGTGTGTCCATTAGGGGTGAACGACGACAGATTATTTCCACTTCACTGTACTCATGTCGCTTGTGTCAGATCATACTGAGAGTTTTCATAAATATAACAAAAACATGCATGGGCATGCAGCGTGGATGTTTGTGTACATGCATGTGGATACGCGGTCGCATGTGAATGCGTGTGTGTGTGTTTGTGTTTGATTGCTTTAGTCACACAAGCAGTCTCCCACGCACATCGCTCCAAGCTTTGAGTGGGCGAAGGCCACTGTGGAGCTGATAGGGGAGACAGAAAAAGAGAGACGAGATGGGGGGTGAGCAGGAGAGAGGGGGACAGAGAGATGATAATGAAAAATTGAAGGCCACAAGGAAATGAGATGTTGGTTTGCAATGCAGAGTCGTACGGTGGTCGATTGAGGGGGGGACAAGTATGCATCTCCCTCTCGAAAAGTGTCTTACTTCTCATAGGTTGACAACGGCTTTTCGGCCAAAAACATTTCTTCTCGTGACGACGAGGACAACCCACATTTATACCCGCTCATATAATTTCTTAAAATCACAACATTCCACACAACAGTGCAGCATGAATGCGACGAGAAAGCAAGCTGAATTCTAAAAAAAAAAAAAAAAAATGTGCAGCGGCAAATGGTGACGAAGCAGCTTCCAGTGTACATTACAGAAATATTCAGGACAAAATGAATAGCATCCAGCTCAGCTGTTCATTATTCAAGTGAGCATTTTTTTTCCCACAGGAAAAAAAAAAAAGATGTAGGCTCATTCGTAGTAAGCAGACATTTTTTAAGGTCCTTGAAATACAGCATGAAATTTTTAGGTTGGACCATTGGAGGTCAAAAATGAATCGCTGATTTGTTTGGATTTCAAAGCGAGCTTTACCATAGACAATAAGGGAAGTTGAAATAGTTCCAGATTCCAAGTGCTGTCATCATAAAAGCGATGCAGAAGCTTACTAAAAGTTCAATTTCCTTGCATTGCTTTCCAGTTTGTGGGGACATCCACGGGCAGTTCTTTGACCTGATGAAGCTTTTCGAAGTGGGCGGATCACCAGCCACGACACGCTACCTGTTCCTGGGGGACTATGTCGACCGTGGCTACTTCAGTATTGAGGTGAAGAAAACAGTGGGAAATGACACGTACTCTTATAAGCTGGCGTTTTGTAACTTACCGAACAAACACTTTGTTTGCATTTTTTTTGTCTCGACAGTGTGTTTTATATCTTTGGTCACTGAAAATCCTCTATCCAAAGACACTATTTTTACTGCGTGGAAATCATGAATGTAGACATTTGACAGAATATTTCACCTTCAAACAAGAATGTGAGTACCCCTCAGTGTTCATCGTGCACAGTGCATTGAGTATTTTTCATATGAACCCTTTCAGGGACAGTGATTACTACAGTGGACATCTTATCATGCTATCAGGTTACAGGGTGCATGAAAGGGTTGATTTCACATTTGTTGTGGGGCATGTTGGGTCCAGGTCGTTCAGCCTTAACAGGGCAAATGAGTAGAATTGAATGGACTAAAATCACATCGCATTGCATATGTGCCATCCTCCATTTTCGTCTTTCTTTCATTACTATTGCACTGGTTAGGTACCGTAGTAGATCGGAGACATCACACGTCCGGCTAATTTTCCTTCCTTTGCTCGGCAGGTAAAATCAAATATTCGGAGCAGGTGTACGACTCATGCATGGATGCTTTTGACTGCCTTCCTCTGGCTGCGCTCATGAACCAGCAGTTTCTGTGCGTCCACGGCGGACTCTCACCTGAAATACACACCTTAGATGATATTAAAAAGGTAAGACCGCCACGGGCGATATCGCAGCTGTGGACAGATTTTTTTTTTTTGTCTCATGAATCGAGTGTCTCTGCCCGCCTGTCGTGTCAAGTTGGATCGGTTCAAGGAGCCGCCGGCTTTCGGGCCCATGTGTGACCTGCTGTGGTCGGATCCTCTGGAGGACTTTGGCAATGAGAAAACGCAGGAATATTTCAGCCACAACACAGTACGAGGCTGCTCCTACTTTTACAGGTGAGCTTACCACTACCCTGTCACGAATGAGGCTTCAGTTTGAGTTCATTTCTGTCCTTCACAATGCGATCCACACTATTGTATTCCGTAAGGCTAATTATTGGACTCCAGTACATCTTCTCCGAGGACCAGAAACTGTTCATGCATCTGTGCAAAGTTACGATCAGGATCTACGGGACTTAAGTAGTTTTTTGTTTTTTTCCCCTAATTAAAAAGTGACCAGAAATGAGCATGGGATTGCAATAAAAATAGAGATCGAATGATTAAGACATACGAATTGATTGAGCAGATATTAAGAAGTGCACGTTCAACAGAAATTGAGAGCCGAGCCTGTAATGTGGACATGGTGTGGCGATGAGAGTCGGCGGCCGTCCGGGTGAAACTTTTTTTATGGCGGTTCAGAGCATTTTTGCTCCTATCACACAAGGTCAGCATGTGCAGAATGATTTCAAATTCATATATTCATGTCATATATCAGTCCGGAAATTGAATAAGAATATATGACTCATCAGATGAAATAGTGGGACAGAAGGGTTAAGTGCAGATATTTCATTTTGTGCCTTGGAGATCTAATGATTGTATTTGATGTCAACGTCCCAAGAACTTCGTAGGAAATCGACCCCAAGTGAACCGTTTTGCAACATGACCTACAGCACGCTCTGTTCTAGGGTCAACCTGTTGTCATTATAAAAAAAAAAACCCGAGAGTTAGCGACGTCAATCTACATGCATCACTATGATACAAATGTAAAAATAAGTTAACCACTTTTAATATTCAGCCGTAAGAACAATAAAAGACTGCACTTTCGTTCAACATTGCGTCCCTGCCACCCCAACACACACACACACACACACACACACACACACACACACACACACACACACACACACTATGCTCTGTAGTTATAAACGAGCCAAACGGAGGATGACTTGTTACGTTGAAGTGTATGTTTATCATCCTCCTTGCCGAGTAGCCAGCAAAGAATATCGAATGGGACGTTGTGCCTCGGTGGGAGCACCGCTCGTGAAGATGATAATGCGGAGGAGGCTGCAACGTAATTGTCATTTATCCGCCTGTGACCTTTTACCACCGTTACTATTTTGCCGGCATTAGGACGGAAGAAGCATTCCCTTGGGCTCGATGGCCAATGCAACATAATCGCTTCCTTAAATATAAGAAGCCCTTAATGAGTGGAGTGAGAACGATGTGAAAAGTCAATCAATACTACGTATGGTACAATATAGTCATCTCACCTTCGCCAAGCAAGTCCCCAAAGCGGGCGTAACGTGACCATGACACTCAAACAAGCGCGACTTGCAGTATTATTTGACTTTGCAAAAATCAATACATATAAAATCGATTTCAAATAGCCGTAAATTTGTAAATGTCACATGTGTTTTGATTTGGCTTCTGCTGTTCGTGCGTTCTCCCAATTGCAGCAAAAATGACACTTCTCGTGGCGTACGTCTAATTTGTCTCAGCTTGATTGTTCTTGAAGGAAAAAAAACGTCATCAATTGAACAATGTATTAATTGTTGTTTATTGAGAGGGGCAAAAATATTTGAAAACGCTTTAGTATGATGCAATCCACGACCACCATAACCAACTCGATGACAGTGACAATCAATCAAAACTTCGCATTATTATTGTTGTTGGAAAGATGGCATATGAAATACAGTTCCAGCAATAGATCGAATTAGATCCAGTCTATGTATAACGAAATGAGTGCATATACAGTAATATATGATGAATTTTGATGAAAAGTCATCTTCTCGAAGTCATAGAAATCATGTCTCACTTTACTACATAATATTTGAGCCTGTCTGATATCGTGGTATCACGTTGAAAATGTTACATATTGCTCATCTTTGTCAGTGTTGGAAAATTAGGACTCCACAGTCATTTCAAGGATGAACAATCGATTCTTTTGTGTTCATTCCAGACAAAGTAACTTGAGCATCACTGCATGAGCAACCAGCCACACCCACATTTATCCGAAAATGCTACGGTTTTTTTTTTTCCTCCATTGAGAGTCGAGGCTTGTTCATTGCATCGTGTACATCGAGACAAACAAAGGCAATGACCAGCGGGCTAACTGATCAATTTTATGACTGTGTTTGCAGCACAGAACTTCCATCTCTGTCTCTCTCGCTCAATCTCACTTGTCAGATTTCTCACTTGCGCTCCCTCTCACTCGCAGGCTCACCGACACATAATTTCACAAAGGAGGGAAGAAATGTGAGCCGCAGGCAGGCAATGTGTGTGTGTGTGTGTGTGTGTTTCTCTGATGAATCAATAGAAACCATTGGAGTGAACAGAAAATAATCGAGTACATGTTGTACTTTGGGATGTTTATTTCCTGCTTTAATAAGCATTCTTTATTCAAGACCAAAAGGCTAAGACAAACACGAGCTCAAATAAATGCAATGTCGTTGTTTCAATGTTTTTGGTTTGGGTTTTTTTAAACACTAGTTGAGTCCAGCATTTTAGATTGTCTCATCAGTGCTCACTATCAGCCGTTGCGGAGCAGTGAATGTATCCATGTGAGCGCAGCTATTTCTGTAATTTATATATGGGGCACCTTGGGAACGTTCGCCATGTGACCTAGATAAAAGAGGGATGGCACAGTTTTGCCAGGTGCTCAGGGCACAGCGGGCTCCTTGTTTTCCTTCCAGCGCAAACCTTGGAGCGTTTAAATATTTCAAACGCTTGTGAAAGTTTGATGGCGGCGTGGATAGGCAGCGGCGAAGTGCCGGAGGAGAGGAAGATGATGGGCGGCGTGCGCAACATGCTGCGTTAGATTCCAAAGTGACTGGACTTTAACAATTGATGACGATCGGTGTAAAGTCAATTAGTCACTTGAGTCACTTAGAAGGAAACATTCAGCCAATGCCATTTCAAACAACCAAGACTGGTTCTACCGCTAAAGTCCGACACAACCACTTCCAACTTGCTCTGCATTCAAATGAATATGGACAGACTAAATAAGATAAAACTGTTACTGTCAAAACATTTTGTGACTGTCAACTTCTGGGTTTATGCTTATCATCAGTTCTCACACCAAAAATCAAAACCCACTCGTGAAATGAAATCATTGAGATGACTTCAGAGGCAAGTAGCAATCTACATCGATACGCTAACATGCTTCATGCCAATATTTCTGTGCAATTATGTATGCACTGAAAACACACGGCGGCTTTTAATGAAATGCATCGCAGTCACAACTCTAAATTGAATACATTAACGAGCAACAAGCAACGAAAGCCCTGTGGAGCCATAGACGTGTCCTGTTGCCTTCACTCTTTTGGCTGATGCCTTCATCTGGAACATATTTAGAAAATGTTAGCTGGATTATCTCCATGCTATTGTAACATCAATTGCAACAATTTCTGAGTGGGATGATATGCCGGTACAAGTGACTGATCGTGCCAGATGTAACACTGGTTGTCTGTCTTTTTTTTTTTGTTTGTTTTTTTTTGGTTATATGGTACAACTAAAAGGGCAACAACACGGAAACAAAAGCCATTACTCATCAATATATAATCTTTGTTTGAAACCCAAGGGCTTGAAGATGTTCAAAATGACATAACGCCTTTCACGGTGTTGCATAACAGCTGTGTTGAGAGCTGCTCTGTGGTGCATCATATTCATAATGCAGCATGGAACCATCTCAATTGTCAGACCTTCCTCCTGAAGGAATCTCAACCGCAGTCTGCAAATCCTGGTCCTAAGCTGTGACTGGAGATCTTCTCATAATAATACCATGTTTTTTAAAAAAAAAAAAAACTTTTTATTTTAAAATGCAAGACCTTATTATCAATTGGACTTGGATGTGTATACATTAGCCACTGAAAAGTATTTTATGCAATGCAGTTTTTTATTTGTAGTGATTGGAGCACCTCATTTTCTCTCAGGTTATAACTGGGTGGCTGTGTGTGCCACTTGATGGGCTATTTTGTCTTGTTCGAGTAGCAATTGCATTCTTTTTTTCTTTTTTTTTCCTCCACATGCTTGCATCATCCTCTGCAAGCGTTTCATTAATATATTCATGAGCGATACATTTCGTTGTATCTACTACAGAGTTGTTTTTATAATCACTAACCTGACATTCTGTTGTGTGATATGAGACATCAAAAGAGTTTCATGTCCCCTGATTGATTTATTTTGAACGATATGGGATTCCGGGACAAGAGCTGAATTGGGCTGAGGGGAGCACGGTATGAATCAAAGGGTTTGGATGTGATGTGTGGTGTTCCCCAGGGGTCAATGTTGGGACCAATACATTTGCACCTGTAAATAAGTATCTGAAATGTTGAAATTAATATTTTATGCTGATGACGCGAGTAAAAATTTACATATTTGTTATTAATCAGAAACAAAAATAATATTAATTTCATTATATTTGGAAACTGTCAATCAAATAGTCAGGTTGAGGTACAATTAGAAAGGGAAAAACATGGAATGCACAAACTTTTTAGTTTATTAATAGTGACTCGATTAGCTGGAACTCTCATTCAATCTGGGTGACTTCAAACTTCAGTTTTTCCACATTTTCTTTTCTAACAACCGTCCAATGCAATTTCAATTTTATTGAAAGAATATTATGATTGTTGTGTTAACATGTTTTTCTTTTCAGTTACCCAGCTGTTTGTGAGTTCCTACAGAGCAATAACCTATTATCAATTATCCGAGCACATGAGGCACAAGATGCAGGGTAAGTTCTCACCGTGCTTTATGGATACATATCAAAAGACCAAACTGTGCATTTAAAAAAAGTCATTCTTATTTGTTGGTGTTGTTATTGCTCACTACCAGTTACCGGATGTATCGTAAAAGCCAGACCACAGGATTCCCATCCCTCATCACCATCTTCTCTGCACCAAACTACTTGGATGTTTACAACAACAAAGGTGAGCAAATGTGTTGTTTGCGTTTAAATTTCAATTTGAGGTTCCATTTTCCTCTTTGACCCAACGTGCATAGACTCTTCATCAAATGGTTTCTGATTTGACAGATGTGGCTCTTGCATTCGATGTCATGAGATTGTGGCTGTGTACCTAATGTTGTGGCCGCTGAGCATATGCAGCAATATAGTAGCTTACAGCTTATGAACAAGACATAGGAATACATCAGGAAGCCCCCCGTGTGTTGGTGCTCTCAGATCTTGCGTCTTGCTTGCCATTGGCTGTGGGATATGGGGAGCGTGGGTGGGACCGTAGGCAGGCTGACTACAGTATCACCAGGTGGCTTTATGCCTCTTGAAGTATCAGAGTCAGCGGCGGCTGGCCTCAGTTATGCCATCTACTGGATGTTTCCTGCTTAGCTCTACAGGAAGGTTTTTGCTCGTCAACACCAAAATAGTTACTGGCAAATTGTGGCCATATGTCTCTCGAGGGTGCTATTTACAGTCATGAAATTCGAGGTCAAGTCATCGCTTATCCTCGAAGGCTAGCATTGCTGTCTTATGGCTTGTAGCAGTGATCCCCAACCACTGGAAGTGATCATATGTCACATGATGGGTCAGATTATTATGATTCATGAGAACAAAAATGCAGTACATCGAATAATCCTCTCAACAATGGGTACTTGGTCAAAAATGTTGGAGCAACACCCGTAGACAGACACTATCACAGTACTCACGTATATATGTTGTGCGAAAAAGCTATCTTGCCGGAATTTCTTTTCGGCGGGGAGTATTATTATTAACATGCTGTTGCTTTTCTCCCAGCTGCTGTACTCAAATACGAAAACAACGTCATGAACATCCGACAGTTCAACTGCTCACCTCATCCCTACTGGCTGCCCAACTTCATGGACGTCTTCACCTGGTCGCTGCCGTTCGTTGGAGAGAAAGGTATGGAGTGTGCCCGGTTTCCGCTTTGCTGCTTTTCCTTGTGCTTATGTAACGATCCGCTACCTCCATGGATCATTGCTCGATTACCAAACCTCTTACCTACGCTCTGTTTCCTTCTCCCCTTAGTCACAGAGATGCTGGTGAATGTGTTGAGTATATGCTCCGATGACGAGCTAATGAATGATGAAGATGAGATATTCGACGGTAACTGTCCAATTTAGCAATGTTTGAAATGTGAGATGCTGTGACTTGTGACGCAAACGCAGACACACCATGAGCTCTTGCAGGAGATGTCGTGCCATTTGTCAAGTAGCCCACGTTGAAAATTGAAGCAACACTTTGTCATGTTTAGCTTTAAACAATGCCAATCTAAATATACATTATGAATCTACAGTCGATTTTAAATGTAAATCTTAAACACATCTAAATGTTACTCCATGTAAAATGGAATAAATGTCTCCTAAATTTTACACACCACAGAATTAAGTGTTGTCAACAACAAAATTTGACTGGTTAAAAAAAAAAAAATTTAAATGAGGCTTGAAAATGATAATTTCTGTGGTCTCGAATCAATACAAAGCATCAGCGGCACTCACACATATATTTCTTGACAGCCAATGCAGCTGCTGCACGCAAGGAGGTGATTCGAAACAAGATCCGTGCAATTGGGAAAATGGCCAAGATGTTCTCAGTCCTCAGGTAATCACGGCATATAGTTTTGTATAGAATTGTATTATATCCATCATTTGTGGAACTGTTGTACACAATGAAGCAGCCAGTCAGCGGTAGAGGTGTTAACAGTCCTAGAAAGGACAAGATATTTTCACCCATTTCAAAACGAGTTCAGATCATCTGATCCGTCTGATCTGTGATACCTGCAGAGAGGAGAGTGAAAATGTGTTGACGCTCAAGGGCCTGACGCCCACCGGCATGCTGCCGAGCGGGGTTCTCTCTGGGGGCAAACAGACGCTGCAGAGTGGTAAGTACAAGGCTGGAGAATAAGAATCCTTTCCGTACATTTTTGACAGATTTTCTTCTTTCGTGGTGATTTCAACTCAACATCACCCTCTGAAAGGGTTCCAAAAATCTCTTTGGAGACATCTGCCCCTTAGATCTTTCGTATAATTTCACTCCAATGTATTTTTTGTACATGTGCGCATACTCTCTGGTACCGAGCAGAAACTCCAAATGGTCCAAAGTATTTTTATAAAGTCCATGTTATTTCATATCGATGTGTCCCTGCCATGCTCTCTCTTTTTGTTTGCCACTCTCCACGTTTTGATGATTTTTGACCTGTAGTTGACACTGATTCTCTCCAGTCCACGTCAATGCATGGCGTACCCACCAAGTTTGACTCCATTGCTACCGTACATACGAATGGCATCCGACCTAACATTGAGCTGCCTTTTCAAGCGGGGGCTGCCCTTTTGACATTTGCATGGCTTTATCCGGAGTAACCTGCTCCCCTCCTCCTCCTCCCCCAGCCACCATTGAAGCCATTGAAGCCATCGAGACGAGTGATGAGGACAGAGAAGGTAAACCTGTGTGAGCCCCTCCCTCCCTTCAGCCTTCCCAAATCCTCCCAGCATATGGGTTTCCTCCTTCCATCTTCCCGGTCCACCTCTCAACCCCACACGAGCAACATTTCACACACATTATTGATCAAAACATTGCTCCTTAATGGCTGCTTGTACGGCAAATGAGACAATAAATTTGGCAGGCAAGATTTATAAATGCTCAGTCATCGTAACAACCAGCACACTTTGAGTTAAGAGACTTGGGAAAACACGGAGGGGTTTAGAAAGATACAAGACTGTTTCTAGCCTCACGGGGAGATACAGTAGATAGAGAACAACAGAAAATATCAGCAATAAATGCAAGTCTGATCCCCCTCCGTTTGTGTGTCGTGTTCCTCTCCTCCCCAGCCATCCGTGGCTTTTCCCCCCAGCACAAGATCACCAGTTTCGAGGAAGCCAAGGGCCTGGACCGCATCAACGAGCGCATGCCCCCTCGCAGGGATGGCGTCAACCACGTGGGTCACTCCATGGGAAAGATGAATATGTCCGAGGCGAACGGCACGGATGACAACAGCAACATCCAGTGAGCCTCGGTTGGTGATGGTGGTGGTTGTGGTGGAGCTAGGCGGGGGGGGGGCTCCGACCTTGCAGATATTCCACCTCGCCGCCCCCGTGCAGTGAGACGTTGCCAAATCGAAATTCAGGCCTCAGAACATAGAAACACAAACGGGCCCACAGCAGACAGACAGAAGGGGATCTGCAGCAAATGTAAAATGAGGAAAAAGGTCATTTATTTAGTGACAGAATGTGAAGGTTGAGGGGAGGCCTGAGGGCTGCCGTGTAGTTAAAAGTTGTCCGCCTGTTGTCCCCTCCCTCTGCTCAATTACAGACTGAACTAAGTCGGACATTGTTTTGCGGACACGTGACCGACAAAAGGCATCATTTCAGCATCCGTGCCATGCAAATGATTTTATTCTTTTTTTTTTTAAATGTTTATATCAAGTCATTCACTGATTCACACCTTGAGGATATTTATCTTGCTTTGAGAGTATTATATCAGAACGCCTTTGGGGGGCGCGGGGGGTGTGGGGTGTCATAGTGGGATTTTGTCTTGCAAAGAACCGTTTTTGGCTACTTCAAAATGTGCCCATTCAAATTTTCCAAACCAATCTGCCAAAAAAAAAGACAAATAAATAAATAGTGTTGATAATGAAATGAAACTTTAGAGATCATGCTGCGTGGCGGTCATCTTTATTTGGATACAAACCATATTTGGTTACTTGAGCATATTTGGAGACATACAAGTCAGAAGATGTCACAGGTAAATCATAATCAAACAATATTGTCACAACATTCCAATGGAGGCTAATCATGACCTTTTTGGAAAAGTTAACAAAGGTAACAAATGTCCCCTAACCATGAGGAATTCCCATGAAATTGAATGGCTAATCTGTCAAGGTGTTAAAGTGGATTATTTTATTTATTTACCTTGTATTGATATTTTCTTGAAAGATAAGCATTAAAAAGTCACTGCAGTGTGAGATTAAATCTCCACATGACTCGCCGCCAGTCATCTCCTAGCAACTCGGAGGAGTTGAGGGCAGAAAAGTGGGGGATGGGAGACTTAATCTCCTCGGTATCTACAGTATCTATTAAGAGAATGTGAAAAGGGATGCATTTTTTATTTTTATCAAAGCCGTCCTCAAAGAGACATTTGCGCCTCTCTGCATCATTTGTGCTCACGTTGGCAACGCATGGCATTACCTCGCACATCCTCACTTTCTGGAAAGACAAAAAAAAAAAAAAAATACTCGAGCATCCTCCTCCACTGAAGAAGCTTCAGCAATCACGCCTGCGTTGCTATAAAACAGAGACAAAGAAGGAAAGAGATTTGGGGTGTTTTATAATATATCCTGCTTGTCCAGCACTGCTCGAGATGTGTGCTGTCACTCAGGTGTGCATTCGCGCCTCATTTTTTTTCCACCCCCGCATATGAGTTTTAAATGTGTATTAGCTAAAGAAAGAACTTTATCAGTACGAGAAGTCGAAAAATTTAAAGGTACATGTATTGTATTATCTTAAATTATAAGGGGCGGGGTCATTTATTGTTAAATGACGAATCTGACAGTGGAACTTCACGATGGTGTCCACACTGTGATTAAAAGAAACTTTTTTTTCCTGCAATTTAATAATTAAAAAATGACTAACTGCTTGTTTTATATAGAATTTGGAAAGTCACTAAAGTAGGAAGCCCAAACTTGAAGTAAAATGTTTCACATATTTTAAAAAGATTTTTTTTTTTTTTTTAAACTTTGTTATTCTAAAGGAAAAAGGTGCAGTCTGTGACTCCGGGATGGACAAAACAGTGGTTTTTAAACACGGCATCAATGGTATGGAACGCATCAATGCATGCAGTTAAGTTCCTAATTGTAATGTGAGATTAAAATTGTGATACTGTAGTCGTGATTCAAATAGTAAACTTGAATTATTTTATGATTAAATTCAATTTGTTGTTTCATTTGTCTTGTTTTATAAATTTGATAAATAGGCTTCCTTCTTGTTTTTGTCAATTTTTTTTATGTTACTTATTACCTCTGCTTTTAATTTTATATTGAGTCGTCGTATGCAGGGATGCCCTTCACAAGTGTGAAGCCTTGTTTACATTTCTGTTGTACTGATGTACAGAACATGTTTAATAGTGTGAATGAATATAATCTCAGTGAAAAGCTACTTTCAGGCTGCCAAAGCATGATAGCATGGTTTTCAGATGTAAATTAATGGGACACCAAGAAAATCACGTGTCACACGTTGAACAAGAAACTGTACTGGTTCTATTTACTGCTGATATTACCATTATTGTTACAATTTAATCTTATGGTTCTTTTCCTTCCTCTTGTTCTGGTTCTTGTATGGTCTACATGCATATTTTGACAAAAATAATGGATTTTATCTTGCAATTTTTTTTTTAATATCTCTAGAGATATGTTTTGGCATTTGACTACCTAAATGATACACACATTGTAAGCATGCCCTATGGGACAAATCTCTCTCTATCGCTCTCTCTCTCTCTCTCTCTCTCTCTCTCTCTCTTTTTTTTTTTTTTTACTCTTGAATAAAATATGCATGAACAAAATCAAGTCACTCATTTTCCCATTCACTGAATCATAACCGTTTATCCCGATTTTGCACCTGGCTTGAGAGAAAAATCAGATTTAGCTGTTTATCAGAAATTCAACCCTTACAAAGAGTGTGTGTGTGTGTGTGTGTGCGTGTGTGTGTGTGTGTGTGTGTGTGTGTGCGTGTGTGTGTGTGTATATATATATATATATATATATACCGGTATATATACTCCAAGTACATGTGTTTGAGTTTATATCTTTGAATTTTAAAAAACAATCACATTTTCGAGAGAAGTTGCGTTCAAGAAAAATGTTTTGTTTTACAAATATGCCTAAAATTGAAACTGAAATAATGCGTACTATATTTGATAGGGGGAAAAAAATCGCAAATATACGAGCTTTATCAAGAAAAGAGATGCAAAAAAAAAAGTATTTTAAACGGTTTTTTTTTTTTCAGAGGAGGAAAACGGGCTCTCTCATGGGCGCAGAATTGGACAACCTGACATTCGTGGCAGAAAAGAGGATGCTTTTCAGCATCCAATGCAGTGTCATCTACAGGGAGACTCGGAGCATCATCAATGAAAATTTTTCCTCCCCAATGCCATATGCCAGTCATTTGAATTCCACCCTGGGAGGGAAACACTAATAGCACATTTATTACCATACACCCTACACCGCACCACACTGGATTTTTTTTTCTTTCTGTATTTTAAAATAAATACTTTTATCTGCACATTTTTTATCTCGCTAATACAATAAGTGACGTCACTAAGAGCTAGTCTTCAACCACTGTCAATCCCAAGTTTAGCAGGTGCAAACTGACATGAAACTGCCTCTTCGTTTTTTTGTTTTTTGTTTTTGTTCGGATTTTTTGTTGTTGTTGGTTTTATTTGTTTGTTGTTGTTTTTTTTAAGTGGGCGTCATTTACTTCTTACCTCTAGTCAACTTAAATGTCACGCGTCCTTGAATTTTCGCAGGCTGTCACAACCGCCGCTGCCAGCCGGTCGTTAGCATCAAGTCTGTGCCAGCTCGAAGCTAACAAGTTAGCTCGCTAGCCTGCGAGCTAACGATACGCAGCTGTCAGCAAGCGGAGCTAAGTGGCTATCAAGGTGCAGTGCCACCGGCTTGTACGGTGTGTGACGATTTTTGTACATTTGAAGCTCCCGAAAAACAAAAACGAATGGACAAAGACGGAGCGGACTGGCTGATAGAGAAGGCGAAGCTGTTGTTACGGTCAGGACGGAAAGACCGAGCGCTGCAGCTGCTCTATGAAGCCCAGAATATGTGCCCCAGCACCCGCGCTAGAGGTAACATTAGCAGCCGTGCATGGAACAAGCCAAGGCTCAGGCTGGACCGTTACACTCGCGTAATGTTACCTAATTATAATGTTTTATTTTTGGCTGACGTGCATCTTCAGCTACAAATGCTTAATATAGTAGGAGACATGACAGCTGTTGAACTTTTGTGCTGGTTAGATATCAACTCCCCCTTTTCTGCATTTTGTAGTGCATTACAAATACTGTATTATTCTTGAAGTCGTGCGTTTTACCTTTTGCTACATGAGGGTAAACATAGGTGGCCAGAGTAGCCAACTATTGTTATCGAGTCAGAGTACTTTTACTTTAGATCAAATGACGCAAATAAAAATCGAAATAATTCGCTGAGTAAGACCAAATACGTATTCCGTTTAAAGGAAAGGACTCGAGTACTGAGTACTAGTGAATAGCTTGATTTGTTAGTTTTTAAATGAGCATCTAATCGACAAAAAATAGGGTGAAGAATGTGTACGTTCAGATTTAGCTCATCAATATAACTAACACCGAAATAACATTTTGATGAAATAGCTTAAATTCAGCCTCAAGGCATAACAATTTTCCGATGGAAAATGTTTGCCTTGGTTCAGTTAAATTTGGGGAAACACTGGATTAGATTTCAAAACTAAAAGAAGATTGCACATGATTTTTGTTGTTATTGTCGTTGTTGTTTTTTTAATTGTAAACCAAGACTTGACACAGACATTACTCTTGACTCTTTCCTCCCTCCTCTGAACACTGCTGTCTGTAGTGCTGATTGACGCCATAATCAAAAATGGAGGCAACGCTGCTCCGGAAGCGAACCATGTGCCCCCGCCCAGAGGCTGGAGGGATGAGGACTGCGGAAGCGCAGAAATAAATCACATGAGCGGTGATGACAGAAAGAGCTACTCAGAAGAGCAGCGCCAGGGTGTTCTCAGGTACTGGTACCATCCGTATGCCCTCGTGATATTCGATGTCCGCATGATGAGAGCTTGTATTTGAACATCCACAATGTCATGACAGGATTAAGAATTGCCGAGACTTCTATGAGATCCTTGGTGTTGCCAAGGATTCCAGCGATGAAGATCTGAAGAAAGCCTACAGAAAGCTGGCCCTCAAGTTTCACCCTGACAAGAACTTTGCTCCTGGAGCCACGGATGCTTTTAAAGGTAGAGTGGCTCGACATGAGCAGCTTTAGAACAAGTGAAAATAACCACGTGTCCACTGTTTTGTATTATTTGCTGCTTTTATAGCCATTAAAAAATACTTCTATAAAATAATTTCCATGAAGTACAGCATTAAACAGGTGGGCCTTAATATGGTTAAACAAAAACACACATTAGGCATATCGTGGTCCAGACCACTTAGAGAATGACGTGCGGGTCCACACTGATTTGCCGTGGTCCATATACACGTGCGCACGCGTGCAAAACAGATGTGACATCTGTAAAACCGACATTTTAGGATGGAATCTTCTTGAAGAAACCTGATCTATTTTTAGCTATTAAGATTCTCGCTTGTAGTTGAATAATTCATTTCAACTGTGATAAATGTTTTAGCCCCGGTGGAGGTTTGTGTTCTTTTAGTGCTCTTGTTTGCAGTCTCTAACGCAATTGCCCCTTTTTTTTTTTTTTTTAAATCAAGCACCGTTTCTTTCATTAAACCTTTGAGTGAACCTAGGAAGAGGCAGTACAAGAAGTCATTCATGATGACTTTTGTGAAAGATGTCTTCCAGCAGCATCAACATAGCTGTCCTTCCCCTAGCAATAGGCAACGCGTACGCCGTGCTGAGCAATCCGGAGAAGAAGCGGCAGTACGATCAGTACGGTGATCAATCGGCAGCGGAGAGCGCACCTCAACACACCACCCACCACCGCCACTATCGAAACTTCCACAGAGACTTTGAGGCGGACATTTCCCCTGAGGAGCTCTTCAACATTTTCTTCGGAGGACGTTTCCCCACAGGTGGGTGTGTCCCATGACAGTGACCGTCCTCGCCAAACACTATTACCATTATCCTTGACTTTGCCTCAAAGGTTGAAAAGTGTGGATGCCGTTGCTTCTCCCCCGCAGGAAACATTCACGTGTACACCAACCAGGGAGCCTCCTACTCTCAGTTCTACCAGCCACGTCGACGGCGAGCTTATGAGAGGCGCAAGGATGTGGCGGAGGAAAAGCCCAGTCAGGTCAGTGAATCCCGCCACCTCTGTTGTGATCTCGCCGTGATGTTTGTTTCCACAACTCTTCCTCTTGTTTACTGGGACGACTCATTAGCCTGTGTGAACTTGCCGTGTGGATATATGAACAACGTTAGAGCTGTTTTGTGCCATGTGATGAGTGTGTATTTAGAAAGTGTTGTGCCGCACACGGGCAGTAAAGCGCACACCTACTCACACTGTTGTGATGTGGACACAGAACACCTTCACAGCTCTGCTGCAGCTCCTCCCCGTCCTGGTGCTGATCCTCATCTCGGTGTTCACTCAGATGATGGCCACCAACCCGCCTTACAGCCTCTTCTATAAGCCGTGAGTGTGCAGGAGAGCCGTTATTTCACGTTTTGACAGTGGACGTCGATCACGCGCGGGTTGTGTGCTTGCAGGAGCATGGGCCTGGTGGTTTCCCGGGAAACGCAGCACATGGGCGTGCCGTATTACGTGGATAAAGGTTTTGAGAAGGAGTACCGCGGCGGCGCCCTCGAAGAGCTGGAGAGGACTATCGAGAGCGACTACATGGAACACTTGCAGAGCAGTTGTTGGAAGGAGAAGCAGCAGAGTAAGAGATTAGCATTGTCTGGTGCTGATCTGTGTGAGACCCCAAATATTTGTTTGACATGTGAAACCCTGTCCCGCTCAGAGTCGGACTTGATGAACCTCGGCCAGCTGTACCGAGACGACCGCCTAAAGCAGAAGGCCGAGTCCATGAGGCTGGACAACTGCGACAAACTCCACAGACTGGTCGGACGTCAGCGAGGCAAATGAAGGACGGTTTGTTTGTGGTGGAGCGCTGCTCCGGTATGTTGTTATTATTTGTACGATTATTGAGGTCAATTTATCCACTTGGGCCATGCTGGCAAGAATCATGCAGTAGAGTTGGGGGCGGGTAAAATGTGCCTTCTCTCTTCCAGGATGGTCAGAAATACAAGTTTGCATGTCAGCTGCTTTGGTGGCCACAGCACTGAGGCTCCGGCCCTTTTCAACTTTTTTATTCTAGAAACGGTCTCTGTCGGAGGTCATTATGTCCCTTGTGCATTGATTTGATTATTTATTTTGCTCATTGTTCGGTGTACTTGACAAGTGTATTTAATTAATCAACATATTTGCTACAGTGACTTGAATGACCCTTTGGACATATCTGAGCACTGTTGCACTGTGAAGTCATGGACTATATTTATGATTTATTTATTTGGTTGGTTAAAATCAAACAGGTAGGAAGTGACTGACTTTTTTTTTTTATAAACACCATGCTTTATAAACACTCTGGGGCTTCCCCTCACTGCTTCTATATTGGATCTGTCATCATGGCTGTTTAATAGCAACAGATGATTGCTGTGTGATGACTTTCAAAGGTTGTTGAGCTCTGAAATAATGTACAAGATTGTCCTTTTTTTTTTTTTATTACTTAAATCGAAACGGGCATTCGAAATGAAAAATATGGACATTACGCACGAGGATTTACGTTAGTTTCTGGTGACGTGTTCGGGTTCACCTCAAGCACTTTTGTTATTTAACACTCCTCTATTGTGTTCATGTTGCATGCAGCCTAGTTGAAAGATTGTTTTGATTCATATCTATTTGAGCAACATGTTTTCAGTTAATATTGACTGACCGCATTGAGCAATTCATGGACAACCCATTTACTACAATCATAAATAGAGTAAAACACAAGTTGTCTTTTGCCACCCCCCCCCCAAAAAAAAACAAAGCCACCAGAAAATTAAAGTAAAATAGACTCTTTAGTGACTCATGTCTTGTTTGTGTTTTTGTGGTTTTGTTTCTGCGTGCATCATGAATTGAAGGTAAAATTTGTCTGCGATTTCAACCCATCTGTGCCTTTATTCCACTCCCACTTCCGTTAGCGAGACCAGGTAAACGAGCAAGTCACAAGTATACAAGCCAAACATGAGTTTATTGTTTCAAAGTATACTTCCCGTTCTTGTTACATCCACAAAACACAGTGAGATTACCACAGTACTGTTTCACTTAAAATATAGGTGGGTATGCGCAAAACAACCACAAAATATACATTTAAAATTATTTAAAGGTTGTTAAAATTAGGAGGAAAAAAATAAGGTCTTTTTTTCCTCTTAATGTGTTTCATAAGGTAACACCACCCGAGGGAAAAAAAAAAAAGAAAAAGTCAAGCAAATCAGAGTCTTTGGCCTCTGGTTTCACACATTGTCTTTACTTCTGTAGTGCATTTCTCACAGTCCACCTCATGAATGTGGACCAGACGTAGCCTGGCTGTAGGATTAGTTGATTTTGAGGCTTTATAGACACTTATACAACCTGATGTTCTTGCCTGTGAGCGGGCTATGAGTGATGTGCAGCCATCAAAGGCTTTGACCCACTCTTTCGGAATCCCCCTTTGTAATCTGGGATTACGTGTAATCCATTTCTGCAAAATAGGAGCTTCCCCACAGCGCCGTCTGCAGCTCGTTGAAATATGGAGAGCAAGTTGGGGATTACACTGCAAACATGATGCAGATTGTGTGTGTGTGTGAGTGAGTGAGTGTGTGGAGGGGTTGGGGTATAAATTAAATCTTGGAAGAATTAATACTTTTCATTTACAGTGTCAGACTCCCAATTATTACTGTTTTTGTTCACTTCTTCATCTTGAGGTCGGCTTCGATGGCACAGCGGCGCCCTCTGGTGCCTCCATCCTGCATGGACAGAAGAAGAAAGTGTGGATTCAAACGGTTTGAACAGTTAAAGCTCTTGTTTACTTGACTGGCTCTTTTGAATTAAAACCGGACATTTTAATTATTTTAGTAAAATACAATGTTTGATTCAGATCTCGTCAGTGTATTTTTCGAGGAAGTGAATTGGAATGCTAGTCCCTTTCACTGTCGCCACTCAACTGGAGCCAATGCCAACTGACTGCGGTCACGAGTCGCTACACCATGGATTGATTGCCTATCGACCACATGGCATCGTGTTACTGATCCCATATTGGCTACAGAATAGTCAGCTGTGTATCACGACATTTATCAGTGACCTCAATAACTGAGTCGTTGCTTTTTTTTTTTTTTTAAGGTGTACTTACAAAAAGAGACAGCAGAAAAGCAGGAGAAGACATGGAGAAGGCGTCCTGTGAGAAGCAAAAATACATTAGAGCTGGGATTCAAAAGAGACAACTCTTGGTAGAGCGCCATGAAAACATTTGCTTTGTTGAGGCCATTTTGATTCGCTGTTGTTTTGAAGACAATGTGAGTTTTTTAGCAGCTTCTGCTGAATAGAAGAACATACATCACTAACTTTAACTGGTGTAAAACCCATTCTGGTATTATTAATCACTTCTTTTAACCTCTAAATTTAACCTCTTCTGTCCACATTCTAGCGATGCACCTTGTCTGCGGAGTCCTGCCGTCGCAAACCCTCGCGGCCCCTCAGGCCCTTGGCGCTAATACCAGACTCGGACGTCTCCATGATGAGCTGGGTGGCTAGAAACTGCTGGATCTGCTCCAAGACGTCCCGCTGCATCTCCACGGCCATGTGGTAGACATCATGATCCAGGCTGTTGTACATGACGGCGTTCTGAAACATCAGCATGATGTCCCGCTGGAACTCGGCCGTAGTTCGCATGGAACCGCTTTCGATGTTCTTCTTAATGGTTGCCAGGTCCATGGGCCTGCACAAAGACACACCATGTGAGCTGTGAGCATCATACCTCACCGACATCAACACTGTCTGCGCAAATCAGTTCAGGTCAGTATGTTTAGTGTTTTAATCATCACCTAGTGAACCGTGCCAACTAGTTATATAGCTAATGTGTCACAAATGCAGGTAAACGCCCCGAAGGTAGAAAAAAAACGGCCTCATTGGTGCTAAGGAGAAGTCACTCGTACCTGTACACAATGCTATGATATCCTGGTGCAATCTCATCCGTCACCGGCTGCAGGAAGACATTTGCATACCTACAAGTAGGGAGAGAGGAAGTGTGAAATATCAAAGAACCACATTTCAGAAAGTCACGCTGGAGGGTAACAGATGAATAAAAATCAAACTGCTTTAAAACTGATGTTATTGGCCTGTGCAAAAAAAAATCTCATGGAAAAAAATTCAGCCAAAGTGAAGACTTTGCAAAGCTCCATCTCTTGTCAGCATCAGCGGACGGTTAAAACAAAACCTGCTAGTCTTACCTGTGATTAGCAGCGGCACGCCAAACCAACATAATGGCCTTCTTCCAAATCTTGTGAGCCTGTAGAGCCTCCAGGTCCTCACTGCACAAAGAGCTACACAAGAAGGTTCTGTCAGAATAAAGACTTGGAAAGGGCAACAACATGGGGCGGGCAGCTAGCAGAACCTTCTACATGACACAACGCAACAGGTAACTAGACAGAAATGAGAAGAAAAAAAAAAGAACGACTATTTGTGTGCAGGAGATTTTGTCCCCCCCACTTACAACTGTGATGATGCAGGGCTGCTGGGGATGGAGTCGGCCGTGGTGTGGAGCTGCAGAGATGACGAAGCCGTGTGGAGGCTGCACGCGTCCTCGCTCTCGCTGGCCACGCGCTCCATCTCCATCTCGCCGTCAGGCTCCGACGAGAACCCCTCCACGCCGTCTCCGTCATCTTCTTCCTCCTCCTCCTCATCTTCGTCGTCATCTTCTTCTGGCCCGTTGACCTCATTGTCCAGATTTGTCCCTGAGGCATTTTCTTGACTATCGACACTCGATTGACCCTCATCCTTTATCTCCTGCAAAGATGGCGGATGCGGGACATAATGCCAAAACATTGCTTCGAGCACAATCACGCAGTGGAGGTACAACGACCAGTTTTGATGCGGTGATATACCTCCTTAACATGTCTTTCTGTCACGGGGAAATCTTCTACCACTGATTCTGCAACCAAGTAACACACTTCATTAACTTCGCCTATGCAAGCTAATGAGATCAAATACTAGCGCTTTATCTCTGCAGGCACTGAAGCGGGTGAAACTGCACAATGTATTTCGACAATATACACGCTTGTCCTTACCCTGACTGGTGCTTTCAGGTCTTTGCTGTGCCCATCTCTCTTCCAAAGACATGTGGCTTTTATGGTGCACCGCGTCTCTCATGGCCTCGGGCTGTGCAGGTGCTCCACTGTGGCAGTGCACAAAACTCCTGGAATTGCATGAGGATGAGGAGGTTGGTGGAAGGCCACTCATTCCCACCGGGGTTGCCACATCACAGTTATCTTGACTACTGCACGCAGAGGAGAGCTCGGCTGAAGTTTTGCCCTCAATCTCTAACTCGTCTGCCTGATTCCTTGTCGGGCTGCAGTGGGGAGATGAGGACTGAGGAGCCCCCGGGGGGTCTTGGGTATGGAACGGTTCGGCTTGCCAGGCGGCGGGAAGAGTGTGGCCGTTCTCTTCACACAAAAAGAGAGCAGCCTCGACTGCAGCCGCATCCAAAGCATCTGCAGCCTGTAAGAAAAAAGGTACGGCATAATTGACTCTTTCAATCATACGCGGCAGTTCTAAATGTTCCCTGAGTGTGCTTGCAAAACACCTGCATTGCAAAATAATTTCACTAAGGTCGTTCCATTTTATACAATTGCGTTCATTGCGCTACTGCGAGCCAAAGTAACGTGTGCAACGGTTGTTGCCCGTCCCCAATCGTCACCTTGTCCTCAATGATGGCGATGATGTCCCCGACCGTCTTCAGATCCAGTTCATCTGCCATGTAGGAAACTGTCACATCCTCCTCACTCAGCTCAGACACTTTCACACCTGCGGGGGGAGGCTGGCACCCAAAGGACGCAGATGGCGCGAGCACATCCACCTCTGCAAACGAATGACAGATCACAGTTCAAAAACGAAGCCACATTAACCGATACAGTATGAGGTATTTATTTCATGTGTGCTTGCAAATTTCCAGTGGTATAAAAACTGTAATACATCAGGTTGAGTGACGTTCATAGCGCTTTGATGGAGCGGGTGGGTAAGAGAGGAGAAAATCCATTGTTCCTTGAATATTGCTACCTGAATTGAGATTCGATTAATTGCCAACAGTTATCAAATCAAACGAATCAACGCTATTTATCTTAAAATTATCCAAGCCATCAAAAGTTCATCCTCTCATCAGACACCTTTCCTCAGATTTCTGTAGTCCTCCATGAAAGCGGACTGAATAGCTTTGTGTTTGGGAAACAATGATCAAGAAATCGAAGAATGTAAGTGCTAAGCTATAAACTAATGAGGATTTGACTGTATATGACGGCATGTTGCGCACGTCTGAATTTGAGACCTGAACAGGCTGGGGCAGCAGATTTCACTGGAGCAGGAGTGGTGCCGGAAGTCGAGTCTGTGCTGACCATGAAGCCTAATTGGGCCGATAAGTGTGTGGGTCCCGCCTCCAGGAGTCGAGACAACATTGGAGCACCTGTCATTGGCGGCACCGGCAACACAATAGTGGACGTGACATTGGACGTTTTGCTAAACAGCAATCAGTGAACAACAAACTTTAATACAGTACACAGAAAAGACCATTCAAGCAGCAAAGCGGTTACTGTTGTTGAACGAAAAAAATCTCAAGGTAGGCAATAGACTGTGCAGGTGTACCTATTCAAATGTCCAGCGAGTATTTTACCTGATGCTGGAGAGAAGGGCAGAGTCAACTGTAAATCATGGACTGCAGTCATATTACCAGCGGACACATCACGTTCTCCAGTCTGACGCGCACACACAAACGCACATTCTTTTCCTTCCGACACAAATTATGAAATGCATGCGCATTCTTAATTTGAACACGTTTAGCCTACCAATCTGGATGTCGTGGCCAAGATGTTGCCTTTCTTCAGCAGCTCAGAGAGAAGCGGCGACGGGGGCGGTGTACCTCTCTGGGCCAGCAGCTTCTTCTGGGTGGGGTCATCACCGAGTGGCGGGTTCTCATTCACGGAGCCGGAAGAGTCGGCAAATGACATCAACCTGACACACCCTGAAGTCTAAAGACATGCAGAGAAAGGATCAACAAGGTCAGGTAGGATGAAGTCATACGTACGGCGTAACGTTTTCAGCGATGAGCATACTCTTGGATTTACCTCTTTTGTGTATGAAAAATCGGGATTTGAGCACGGGAGAGGGTCACCTGATGGAAACTCCAAACTGGCTGAGTTGCAACCCGTGGGTGAATGCATGGTGGCACCTGCCACACGTCGAGGTGTGTTCTTTGCTACCTGTCTGGCTGAAAGAGAGAGAGGAACAGCATTCGGATTTGTTTCTTGCTAGTGGCACCATCACAAATGAGAGGGAGCTCGATGTATGCAGTAAAGGCGACATACCCTGATAGGCAGCGTCCGTGACTTTTCTTTTTAACTCCGCCTCTTCCTCTTCAATTTTCTGTTTCCTACCCGACACAATAGATGTATATGCACTTAGCCATGGCTGTGTGCAAGAATGTTTAGAATGTATTCATTCATGAAAACAGAGCATCATCGTCATCATCATGTAGGCAAAAATAGGTCTTGTATCTTTGGGTGGACAGAGAATTTGCTGCATCTTACTGCTGAATTTCCTTCCATAATTCGTCCAGTTTGGAGTCTAGATGACCAGCTTGAATAAGTTCCGACTCTCTCTTCAGTGTCCTACGGGTTGGAAACAGAGTTGAGAGAAATAGCATGGATGTGTCCTAATTTTTCGTGTTTTAGGATATAAAAAAAAAAAAAATGCTGTAAAAATGAATCAATGAAAACTTAAACAATAAGCTAGTGGTGAGCTCAGACAGTACAGTCCAGTCATATTTACACCAACAGCAAAGGTGTATTTGTGTACCTGTGCTCCTCTTGGGTTTGTTTGATCAACTTTTTTAATTCATCAATCCTCTGAGCGGTCAGCTTGCGCACTATCACATCCCCCACCGTCTCTACCACCTCCCCCTTCTCGCCTCGCTTCCTCCTGCAAACACACAATGACATTGAAACATGGCTGTGAAGGGAAACGCAATCATCCACTTGTCATATTTGATTTTTGCCTGCAATACATGCTAGGTTTCGATCACCTACTTTGGGGCTTCTGTGTTTTCCAGTAGCTCGGAATACTTTGAGGCGCAGTGCTGTGAACAGAAGTGGAGTCAATTGTAAATAGTGCGTAAAAGCCTTTTTTTTTTTCTCAGACATTGAGGACACGTCATGCCTTTTGAGAGAACCAGTCAGGTGGCCGCCCGGGTTCTGCAAATGGTTTGATGGCTCGACTGACAGAGACCCTGCAAATTTAAAGATGAAACACGTGATTTTTTCCAAGGTCAGATTCATCCACTTCTCAACAACTCTTTTAATCAATGACATCATTACACGAACACGCCTCCTTGATGCACAGCGCACACTTTTCATATTAATTTAGCCTGATACAGCTTGTTGCATATCAATGTGCACTTCTCTGCATTATGTAGACTGTCAGGACAGTTATTCTAAGATATAACACAAGCTGGGCAACTGTACTGTATGCATAACCATAAGATGATTCATCAATAATTCATTGACTAATAGTGAAGTCTAATGGGCAAAAAAAATGGCTAGCCAGAAGCTGAATTGCACTATGTTTGTTTATGGACTAGGCATGTGGCTCGGGGCAATTACACTTCTTGTCCCTTACCTCATATCTTCTGTGTGTGAAGCAGAATAATCGCCCCCAACATGCAGTATTACATAGTCGTTGCTGCATTTGGTTATCATCATTTTTAATTTTGAAAAATTGTAGCCAGCGAAAGCCTGCCATGTACTATAAAATCAATATGTAGAGCTGGATCTGGCCCCCAGGCTTCGACTTTAAGACCTGTGGGTTGAAGTCAATGGAATTACTGTTAAGTACCAATTCTGGTCTCCACTCTTCATGACCGATGTGGCCAAACACAGCTTCTCCCTGAGTGACCATGCTTCTGTTGGGCCAATCACGAGCAGCTTGTGTTCTGCAGATGACAAAAAAAAGTTACATTGTTCCAGTTTATGATAAACCTAACTCTTCATCTTAAAAAGAGCAAAATGCTGCCATTCCCCGGCCTGTCTTTACTGCATGCTAACTCAAGCTCCAATCCAAATCCTTTGTACTCATTGCACTGCTGAGTAGAAGCACGCGCGCACGCACACGCACACAGAGCGAGTGTGGCCAGCTGAAGTATCTGTAAACAGAGGTGTCAGCTGGAGAGACCTGCAGGTTGAGCGGCGGTGCATCCAAACTTTGTGACCCCCCTCCCCCCACAAAAAAAAAAACAAAGATAGGCGAAGCCACTCGCAATCATTCGGCTAGCGCATAGCAAGTCACAGCAACATCTCCCGTGCGTAGACATTACTCACTTCCAACGCCGTTTGCCATCTTCCCGTCATCCCCACACGCCGCACATCCTGCCACACGCAAACCGCAGCAGTTAATACCACTTGGATTATCACGACGCGACGCGTGACCGAGTAAACAAAACACAAGCGTGCCGGTTACCTTGACAGAAAAAAAAATGTGAACACTCCCCGAGGTTTTCCTCGTTGACGTTAGCTCGCGCGCCCCATCCTCGTATTGTGCGCCTTAGCTTAGCGTTAACTTCAATATCAAGTCGCTCCGTCAGAATGCTGCATTTGCTTCAGCGTCCCGGCTCGATTCGAAGTCCGGCTGGGCCCACGTTCGAGAGTGAGCGGTCAGTCAAGAGGAGAAAATAGAGCTATGTGATCGTACGAGTCACCGTCGTCATTTATCATTCAAAAGTAGCTAGCTACATGCTGTGTGCCGTGTGCACGCCCACCAACACGGGCACTCAATGATGGTAGCGGGCGCGCGCGCACACACGCACGCACAAAGCCGTGTCTGCTGCTATGCTAGGTCACTTGAAAAGATGAATTAAGATGACCCTTTCTTGATAAGTACAAGTATTGTACCAGCGCAACCCTTGTGACAAAGTAACTAAACACGTATAATTTTGTGTCACCTTACATAACCACTCAATTGGAATCACTAATAACCACTTTATAAATGCTAAGAGCCTCAAAAATGCATCCATCCATAACATGCTTTTTGGTGAAGGCGATTTTCTAAGAATTTGGGAGCCAGAACTGTGTTATCTTTGAGTACAATTCTTGGAGGATGATTTTGTGAATGTCATGTGTGGAGTTGGGGACTTCGGGCAAACCGTGCTAACCACTCGTCCGCCTTGATGCTGATTCAATATTACATAAAGCATTCTTTGGAAGGACACTATCCATCTTTCGACTTCAAATGAACACACCATGGGTACATCACATTGTATTTTTAGGCCTTTGTCATGACACAGACAGACAACAGTGAAACATTTGCAGTTCAGTCTTGGCTCCTCCATAGAGTCCATTGATCAGTGGGAAAGAAATGGTAATAAGGGACCTGACATTTAACACCACAACACTGCCACGTTGCCCCTTGGTGCTTTGTGTAATAACTGATAACTCATTTGCACCGCCAAGCATATTATTTTAGTAGCGTGGTTATTTTTGTGATTGCAGTTTTTTAGTTAGAATTCATAAATTCCAAACAAACAGCTGTTTCGATTTGATCTCATTAATTTGTGCTGGTGTACCTAATGTTTTGGCCGAAGCGTGTGGCTAAAAGCCATTATGTGTGGCAGTTTCATCAATAATGCATCAACTTGGAAGGAGACTGACTTCCGATCAGGCAGTGTAGGTTCATTTCCCACACGGTGCGAGTGGGAATTCTTGTATGGGCTGTGTTTGACTGGTGATCAGTCCAGAGTTGTAGAAGCCAACTGGGATCGGTTCCAGCCCAGCGTCACCTTGAATACGATAAAGCGGTGACAGAAAATGGGTGGACACGCAAATACATTTGCAATGTATGTCATGTCATATCATTTCCCGATTTTTGTATTCATAGAAACATTAAATCCAAAGAGGAAAACAAGCTTGTGGGCTTCCTTTTCAGGCGTAAAATGTGCTTTTCGTTAAAACATCAGAGCCCATCAGGTTCAGTTCAGCCAATGCAATGTTTGAATGTCATATATGTCAGTCGTCGCAGCGCCGCATGCTGTCGTGCACCTCTGCACCGAGCCCACGCTGGGGGCAGAACCGGCGCTAATTAATTGAACGAGGGAACCTGTTGAGGCTTCCCTCCTCGTCTTTGCCATTAATCACACTTCATTTGACGCTGCAAGTTGCTGCTCAGGACTCAAGCACACTTCCCGAGCAGAGGAGCGTCTCACGGTGAGTGCATGATATTTTTGAGTTGTTTTATTGATGTCTAAGTAGAAATGTTTACTTTTTGTGCTTGACTTGAGGTCATTTAAAACATTTTTAAGAAATGCAAGAACCTCATATGTTTTCTCTCTCTCTCTCTCTCTCTCTATGTATGTATATATAGTGTATGTGTATATATATGTATATATATATATATATATATATATATATATATATATATGCTTAATATTTAACTAATTTTTCATTACATTTTGTCTTCACTGACTGAAAACAAGAATATGAAGAAGATCATTGTTAATCCAATGGGGGAGGTGGGGATCATTAATGTGTGTTCGACTGAACCATAGAAATACATATGTATAACATATATCTAATTGATAAACGGCAGCTCAGTTCAACATCAACATGCTCAGGTTAGATTTATTTACGATCTCATCTCGCGCCCATCAGGGGAGCAGCTCTGCCCTCTCTTGGCCTCCTCCTCTGAGACCCTCGCTGTGACACGTGCAGCTGAGACCCAGGGCGAAGAATTAATGAGCAAATTGAAACAGACTCAATACTCACGGCCCAGTTGCCTTCAATTACCAGTCGCTGAAACACACACACACACACACACGTTGTCATTTTCACTGTGCAAAATGGCCACACTAAATTCTTCATGCATGTTGACTGCAGGCAAAGCAGCAGCAGGATGTCCAACAACATGGCCAAGATTGCGGATGCGCGAAAGACGGTTGAGCAATTAAAGCTCGAGGTCAACATAGAGAGGATGATGGTATGTGTACTTTATGTTGGCACAAAGCAAAATAACAGTGGGAAAGACAACATTTCTACCGGCGTTTTGGATGGGCTGACTGCAAATTCTGTGGTTTTAGTCGGGACCATTACATTTGACTCTGACTATCTTCTTTATCATTGAATGAAACGCTTTGACACAGATACTTTTATGCTTGCGATATATTTTCCCAGGTATCCAAAGCAGCAGCGGATCTGATGGCCTATTGTGAAACTCATGCCAAAGATGACCCCCTGGTGACCCCCGTACCGTCCTCAGAGAACCCCTTTAGAGAGAAGAAAATATTCTGTGAAATACTGTAAGACCACTGTGGGCATTGATGGAGTATCAATGTTTCACATTTGTTTTAATACGAACTTCTTTATTTTCACAACTGCCTCGTTGTGTGTTTTTGTCGCTCTATGGTACGTAGATGAATTTCCATGTTTGAAGCTGATAAAGATGTCAATAAAGACTTTCTGCAAAATAAGCGCAATGCTAATTTAAATGAGCCCCTGTCTGTCTTTTACTGTGCACTCAGTGCTAATTCAGCTTGTACATTAACTCCATTCTTTCTTCTCTGGGATCTTTGTTGGTTTTATATTTCCCAGTGATTGTCACATCAGGTGATAAGCATGTGTACAATAAGAGCCCACGTTTGCATACATGCAAGCCACATTGTTTGAACAGTGCAACAAAGGTTTCCATAGCAGTTACCATAACTGCCACTAGGGGGTAGTATTTGTTTGGTGCTCGGGATGTCGATGTTCGTTTTCGGCCAATGCCTCACAGTTCGGAGATTTGATGTTCAAATCCGGGTTCTGCTCTTCCTGATTTTTTTTTTTTTTTTACTGCACACTGTTTTTCATTCGTATTCTTGTCGCAGTAATTTATAAGGGTATATCTTACTTATATCCTTCCAAAAAAAAAAAAATCAAGGAATGCCACGACTTTTTCCTTGCAGGATCATTTTAGAATTGACAGTTCAAGATATACATGAATCAATCCAGTTTCCATTACTTCTACATTTTTTTGTCACGCAGGTGTCAACATTACAGTCTTTGCCCTGACGTCATGCTCACCATCTGTCTGGGGTCACATATCTGCCGGATGGCTTTGCGATACGACGTGCTTTTTATTGTTGACATTTTGGCTACACATTACCAAAGGGTTTGGCGGTCGTTAGTTTGCTCATTGAATCCATGTATATTCCCTTTGAAAAATGTTTTCTTTTTTTTTCAGGTTAACAATGTTGCAAAGTTGTCCCACGTGCGGCTCCCAGGACGAATCGTGCCCCTGGAGGGGGGTGAAGCAAATATTGGGTGGGGCGATGAGCGACGCAAACGCACACAGACTTTCTCATCGCGTGACAGGTGGCAACGTTCGCACATTTGCAAGCAAACGTCTGCCTTTTTCTCCGAGGTTGGAGGCGGAACATAAGGTATCGCAGCGACCTTTTGCTCTTCGTAACGAGTCGTGTCGTTGTTTTGTCATTCACATTTGTAACATTTGCATTGTTGGGCGAGCAAAAACTCGTCCGACCCGTTCGATCGTCCTGTCCACAAACAGACAGGTGAAAACGAGCTCCCGCTGAGTCGTTACTGCACTCAATTCATTTTGAGAAAAAAAAAAAAAAAGATTTATTCCACGATATTCATTGGTGGAAGCAGATTGAAAGTTTAAGTGCGTAGAACCGGTTGACTTCTCAAACAGGATATCCTCGACCTGTTGAGGTAGAATGTTCGATTTAGTTTACTTTTCCACTAAAAGTTTTGTCAATTAGTGCAAATTACGAATGATATGTTCGTGTATATTATGTGGTCTCGTCGACTCGAGGTGCACGTTTGCCTGAGAAATGGAAAGTTGGTTGGTTCAAATGCGGGCTGTGGGCTTTGATTGTTCAACCTGCATGAGCTTTTACTGCGTTTTCTATACTCAGGCTTCCTCCCACACTCCAAAACGTGTTAATTATTATTATTATTATTTTTTAGTTTAATTCAAGGCTCAAATCTATATATATATATATACACACACACAGTATATATAAAGTTGCAAATTATCGGGAGAAAATATTTAGAAAACTGTTTTCTATGATTGAAACTATTGCAGAACTATTATTTATTTATTTTTTAGAAAAAAAAACTCCGTTGGAATTAATTTGTAGTTTTGCAGTGGATCTTCGAGAAATAAAAGTGAAATGAAAGAAAAGTTCATTTATTTTAGTAGTTGAAAAGTGAACCATAGTTCTAAGTTACTGAGATGCACTTGTATTTGATGTCTTGAGCAATCTTTTCTCATTTTCACACACATACTTGCTTATGCTTTAGTTAGGAGTGATTTGTTATCATGACACCTTGACACGCCCACCGAATATCATAAAATGCAAGATTATGTAGTTTGCACTTCAAACCGTACTCAAGAGACAAAAGGGCAAAAAGCTAAAAGTGGCAACCAACTTGACCGTTTCCCCTTTCTGTTTTTAGGCCTCGCCATGGCCAACTTTGGGGGCCACGCCATTCCTGGCTCCTTCTTCTTGCTCTTTGGCTTATGGCTGACGGTCAAACACACGCTCCAGCGCTACTGGCGGAATAACCAGCTCAAAGGCAGAGCACTTTTGCCCCCTTTCTTTAAACGAATGGACTACATCGAGGGAGGCTTGCAAATCTTTGCCTCGTTTGTCGGTCAGTCCTCCCCACTCGACGCATCATCGAAACACTCCGAATCCTCCCTAACCGATGCGGTCCTGTCTCAGGCATCATGGTGGAACAGTTCGTTGTGGACGGGCCACATGCTCGCCTCTACGACGCGCACAACCATTCATGGGTCAAGCTGATGAACTGGCAACACTCCACCATGTATCTCTTTTTTGGCATCTCTGGAATCGCTTTGGTGGTGAGCACCGCGTCCAAGCTGGTGCCGGTTGGCGTGGACCGCCTTGCTCTGTCCTTAGCTCTTTTTGTGGAAGGTAAGAGTTGAAAAATTCTGGAGTCGTTTGGGCCTTTTTCAGTTGATCACAAAGCGGTGTTATGTTGGTAGATCACGTCCTGGCTCCCGCAACTTTTGGTCCAGTAGCAATGCACCTGGTGAGCTCCGTGTTCTTTTTTTTTGTGATCCAGGATTTCTGTTCTACTACCACGTGCACAGTCGCCCCCCGCTGGACGCCCACATCCACTCCTTGTTGCTGGTGGCCGTGTTCAGCGGGTCGGCCAGCACCATGATGGAAGTGTTCATGAGAGACCGCTTCATTCTGGAGATGCTGAAAGCCGTCTTGTTCATCCTGCAGGGCTCGTGGTTTTACCAGGTAATACACGTCATAGCTATTTGTTTCTCTCTGGTAGCACAATTTAAAAACCGTGCACGGAGGCAATGAAGCAAAGTGTGCATGTATGAGCCCCCCCCCCCCCCCCGGAAACTTATAATGAAAA